GGAAAGCTAAAAGCTTGCAGTGTGCTTAATTACTCAACACAAGCCTGACTTTTTTGTATTATGTGCCTTTCGATCACAGCTTCATGCAAGAATTATTTGAAGGTTACATTACTGCAGAAGTATTTTTTCTTGTCGAGTTGGTAAATCTTAAGTAATCAGACAATGGAAACACCAGTATATTAAAGATATATCTGTAATTCATCAGAAGTTTCATTTAATACAAACCTCACTTCATACTACATGATAATTTTATTTAACTCCTTAAAACATCCTTCTCATAAATGGGCTTTTTACTTGAAAACGTTCTCGTAAATGGGCTTGAAGCAACTTTTTCTCAGATTGCTCTCATGTAATACTTCATCATGTATCAGTCAAGGAACAATATGAAATTTACTTGTACTTTGGGAACTCATCACAAACCAAATGCCACGGTGGGATGTGCAGTGATTTCACAGGATGGCCGCTCCTTTTCTGGTTCAGAAATGAAGGCACTTGTCAAGAGAGTTTGCTTGAGTCATGACCTGTGAAATTAAACTTTCTTCACATGCTTGCTGCATTAGAAGAGTTGATTTATTCTATTTTTGTTGCTAGACATGATTGCCAATATTTACATCTCATAAAGTACATAAAAACATTAGGCCATCAGTTTTGAAGGACAAGCTGAAGTTTAGTGAAAGGGCCCAGTTTTACCTTTTTAACCTCTAGTATGTTTTTTCATTGACCGATGAGCCCTCAAAAGGCTCTTTTGTTGATAACAAGGCAGCAATGATACATCTAAAAAGGACTGTTATTTCTATAATAAAAAACAGTACGAAACAGTAGGTCCCATCAAAATTATTTGCATGCTATATAAATTGCTTTAATGAAAGAAAATTTCTTGTATACTTGACATTCAATAAAATGCATGAGCAACCATAGGAAATAATTCCACGTAGGTTCACAACTTTGAATGGAAATGAAATATCTCCCACAAAATAAAAATCATGAATAGGAAAAGAACAAAAGTAGTGGTTCCTTGTCACTGTATAGATGTTAGAAAATATTCAGCGAAAAATCCAAAGTAAATTATAATGCAAAATATAAGTAGAAAAAAATCAACTACTAGAAAAATCAAGAACATTGAAGTAACACAAAGTATGATTTAAAAAAAAAAGGTAGCCAAATTCTTATCCCAAGGAAAAAATACAAAAAAATAGATCAGTATGATAGGATGGCCCTGGGGATGTGAGATGCATCAGGTCTGATGAATGTGTTCCTAGTGAGATGAATGTAGCATATTAAACTGAAGAATGATTTGTTTACTTCCACTTCCACACTCTACTGAGATGTTGGTAGAGATAAGGAAAAAATTAATTCTATTTAAAACCAAAATTTGCACAGCTGAAACAAACATAAAGCCATTAAAAATCAATTTTATTTTGGATGCAAATGATGTTCTGATCTTTTTTCTTTATTCAAAAAAGAAAGAAATGTACCATTTCATAAAAAAAGATATAAAATTCTTTAAGAAAGTGTGTTAAGAGCCCCCAAGGGGAAAAAAATGACAGGAAATTTTTAACAGTTTATTATTTATGCTTCCACATCTTTCTTTTACAAGTCTCTAAAAAAATCAACATATTTCACACATTAACCCTCTCGCTGTGCATCCATGAAGGTAGGAAAGGGAGGAGGGGCCATTCCGCGCTAGAAGTGAAGCACTGCTTTGAAGCTGGGTACCAGACGGGTTTTTGTTTACATTCAGAAGCTCGCTTGACAAGATTTTGATAGTATTTCGACACACGACAGTTCCATAGAAATCGAAAAAAGGAACTCTCGCATGAAAAAACTTCATAGTGTGATGGATAATAGCAATTTGTATAGTTACTGACATTTACGCAAACATCACATCTGGTTATTTTTCGATAACTAACAACAGCGATTTGATTATTCGTTTTATAAATTTTAAGCTGTTGCACTACAAAAATATAGATTTTAAAAAATTGCTAACAAGAGATCTGCCAAAATTATTTTCTAGAAGATTTGAAAAAAGTTTGAAACTTGATGGCTAAGTAAATAAAATTATGTATGTTAAATATTTGTAATTAGGCACATAGGTCAGATTAAGTTTTTATTAAATAGAGTAACGCATGCAAGGGCTATCTGCCTAAAGAGAGAGATGCCATCGTGGAGGAATTTTGAAGAAAAACTGACCTTTGAGTGGGTTATTAAAAATAATACTTATAATTTTTCATTCAAATTATATTCATATATATTTTTTATGTAAAACTTTCGGGTGTATGCTAAATTAGTGTAAATTACTTTACACGAAAAATATAGCGAATGCAACAGAAATTAAAGATTTGCACTGCCGGAAATGAAAAAAAATAGGAAATATGTATGGGTATTTATGCAGGTGCTTGCAAAAAGCATGTATCTGCCTTTGACAAAATACTTAAATATTCATTAAATTATTTATAAATGTATTTGAAATGAAGAAATTATTCACTTATACAACTGTGAAAGTACTGTGAAGAAATCTAATGATTAAATGTATCTAATTTATAATGATTATAAATGTTATCTAAATATATAATAACTTTAATATGAATTGTAAACATAAATTGAAATCCTGTTGACAAATACGTTATAAAACTATTTAAGCAAGAGAATTGTTCGTATTGGAAAGCAATCTGTTAAAAGGTATTGTAAAGCAAATGCTATGAGATGCACACTTAAGAACGTAATAAAGAGTTTTGGAAATGTTTGTTGAAATGAGGGTAAAAAAAAAAAAAAAATCTGATAAGTATAATTAAAAGAATTATTCCCTTTACATTTTTATAATAACAGTTACAAGTTTTAAATAATACTTAAAAAAAAAAAAAAAAACTTATTTATTCCCTTTCAGAAATGTTCAGAGAAAGCAAATACTATTTACCTATTTAATGATTAGGAATAGCGAAATACTATTTAAAGTATTTCGTTAATTCCTAATAATCTAATTTAAAATGAATGAATAGAGCATTAATTATAAATTGACTTACATTTTTCGATTTAAAAGAAGCCAAAAAATCATGTCATATTTAAGAAAGTATTTTAGGAAGAAGCTCTATAAATAGAAAAGAAATATGCATAATTTTAATATTAATAATAATAAAACTTTGATCTTAATTTTTGTACCTTAACCGAATAAAATCGAATTACCTTAATTTTTTTTTCTAATGTAATTAACGAAAACTTGTGAAAATATTTCATTCAAATTAAACCATTCTGAGAAAACTGTCCTGTGAAAAGTATAGCATTTAATTCCGTTCAGAAAGAAATGTTGTTTTCACATGCTTAGGACTCTGAAGTGTTGTAGAAAAAGAAAATATATACATTTATATGTATATTTGCGACGTAATTACAAAATATTTACACCCGAACGCGTCAAATCCCATAGAACTCAATGGTAAATGACCCAATGTTTTGGTCACCATGTAGGGATCGCCGGTGCTTCAGAGCAGGATACGGAGAAACTTGTTTAGGGCGACTCCATCTTACTTCTTACCTCCATGTGTGCATCCCGCAATTTCCACGGGCAACGTAAAAGTAGCAAAATTTGCGCAACCTGCGATTTCTGCAGGGATGAATTTTTGCCGTCTATTTAAATGTGCAACCGGCTCTTTCCCCGTTCAAGGTTTCCTTTCGGCTTTTATGTGATGTTTAACTGTTTACTTAGATGTGGGCTAACAAATGGCATTAGTTGTCCACATTTCTGCCAAATATACAAGAATACATAACGTAGCATTTTGCATGTGCTTTTCAGATTTCAAAGATGTCTGACAGGAAGCGTGTCGCGAGTGATATAACTTATATTCCTGACGATCTTTCCGATTTCCGACACTGATAGTAGTTCTGACTCCGATTTCAAGTATATTGAAGATAGTTATAGCGAAACTGATGAGAGAATTTCTCGGATTTAACGGCAGATAGTAATGAATCTGAAAATTCAGTTTCTATTGAAAATGCTTGACAGTGGTGCAAAATTGATATGCAAAATATTACATTAAGCAAATATTTTCATTAGTATATATGTTTTACCTTTGTATTCCATAATTTAACCAATATTAATTTTCAAAATTTTCCTCTTATATCATTATTCTTCAATTTCAGTATTCTGGCAACCTTTTTCTGTAATCTAATTCTATATTGAAAAAAAAAAAAAAACCTTTTACAAAAAATTTTTGTATATTTTAACTCTAAAATATATGTAGATTTGAAATATGTAATAAAAAATATGCAATTTTTGAACCTATTTTGATAAAAAAAAGTACGCAGTGAGAGGGTTAACTCCCCTCCCCTCAAAAAAATATTGCATTTTGGTAGCAATCTTTTATGATACTAGCACACCTTTTTATAAAAATTAGTCTTTTGTAATTTGAAATATGTACATAGAGAATAAATTTGTTTCATGGAACCCAAGTACTTGAAATGGGAACAATTATAGAGGAATAACCTATCGTCTCGGAAAAGAACTTACTTTTTAAATTTTATCACAAGAAGTATCACTAGCATGCACAATATGCATTTTCCTATGGATTACATTTCTTTTGACACATTTTGTGAAAAATGCAGAATATGTAATTACAGAAATTCACACTTTAACATTGTGTGAACATACATAATATTCGGCACCTACACTACATGCTGCAAACTATTAGGTTTTCAATTCATTCAAGCTTGGATAGAAGTTTTCCTGCAGATTAAAAACAAGAATTCACAATTGATAATTTTTCTATAACTTTTAAACCTTTTCAGGAATTTTTAAAGAAACTGAAGAGGTTGCTGCTAATCTTAAAGGATAGGATTTTTTTTTAAACATTAAGAATCTGGAATGACTCTAGCTATTTTGAGATGACATCTATGGAAATATTTGTCTCGACTTCTTTCATCAGTCAAGAAATTAATTACTATTTAATTTTGAAATATTACTGTAAACAAAATCTGAGTTCATCAGTTATAAATTATTAAGGATTACCATATTTTGGGGGACTAGCTTAATACTTTATTCATTTTATACCAAGCACGTATCTACACTTATCCTATGTATAAAAATGATTGCAAAATAAAATGTTAAATACTAAATAAACATAAAATGCAGAAAATACAAAATATACAATTGTGCAGAAACTAATATTTTGAAAGAGTTAATATTTTTAAAAAAACAGCAGTAGTAAAAACTAATAATGAAGGAACAAAATATACAATCACATTGTTACCTTACATAATAAACATTCAAACTGGATGACACGTAATATACAAGGTATTTTATTGGAAAATTTTTTTCAGGAGGATAAAGAGAGAAGAAAAGCAAGCTAAAAAATACCCATGTTTTGTCCATTTGACACAAGAAATGCTTTGTCAGCAAAATTGTTTGGCCTTGCTTAGTTTAAGTTTATTATAAATTAAAGTTTACATTATTATAAATAATATTTTTCCTACTAGTTAAAAACTGCATAAGTCACTCACTATAATGTTTACTGAATATACCATAGATTGGAATGATTGGAAAGAAAAGTATTTCTGCAAGTCTCAAAATAACATGCATATCATTTACTGCTAATCTGGTAACTTTATACCGCAGTTCTCCTAAAAAACTATGAGCTTAGTACATGATACTACCACTTTAAAAATATGATATAATATCCACTGCAGGTTTCTTAGTGATCATTTTAATTTATGTACTCCCAAGATCAGACTATTACATTTTAAAATTCATATGAAAATTACATACAGTAATATAAATCAGTAATTTCTGGATGAAAATGAAAAATAAAATGTTAAACATACACAATCGTTACCACACTGATACGTATAATGTACAGATAATAAAATGTAAAGAACATATATGAAAATTAAAAATTTTATAAAATCTAATTTCTTTCATTTTAAAGTTCATCTTTTACTCTGAAAGAGTGCAAAATATTTAAACGTCCTTGCATTTCTTCCTTTTTTGCAGTAGTTATCTTACCTTCCTTTATGTTTTTAATTCTTTCTTTTTCACTAGCAATGAACCCTACACCTCTTTCAATCACCTTTTGCATCATTTTTACATATACATCAGCAGACTTTTTTTCTCCATCATCTGATAAACCAAGTGATAAATCTTTTGCTTCAACAAAAATTTTTTCCCTTTCTTCTTTTGCATCAGCTGCCATGAACTTTTCAGCTAATTCATCAAACTGAGGTAAACATTTATCCAGCACAAGTCGGACATCTAGAATTATAGAAATGTTTGTTACATGAAAGATGATTTACACATTTTGAAAACTAAAACTTACTGTGCACAAATCTATAATTCAAAATTAGAGATAAACATCTGAAAAGATGATATTACTGAAAGACATAATGATCACAATCAAAAATGCTACCTACTTACAAATATTAATTTGTTCAAAGGCATCATTTAATTTAACAAACATTCTCTATGAGGCTTTAAATTTCGTTACTGTCTTCTAAGAAAGGAAATACTATTTTATATGCTATTATTAAAAATAAAATTGAAGACAAATTGTTTTTATAAGATAAATTAGTCTAATCTTCCATGAGCGAGGTTAGTTGGTGCCAAACTCTTTTCGTTTGCGATGTCAAACTTCACAAATGCCAATTACAGAAAGAAACAGTGATGTAAAATCTAACATCGCCAAACGAAAATAATGCTAAATACAACATATGCATAAATTACTACAAACTAAAACATAAATTTAAAATAAAGTACACAAAATTCAAGTCATAAACATAAAACTAAAAATCACAAAAATAATACATACCAAATGTCTCTTCACTCGCATCAAAAAATTCTCAACCAAGTAAATATATATAATTCACTAACAATGGACGCATCATAAAATGAGTAAAATACACAAGTTACTATTGTCGTGGAATTCAACACGCTGAACCACTTTTGTTCAAAACTTTAAACATTCCACATCTCTCGGTTGCCGCATGCAAGAAACAAAACTAAAATAAATAATTAACTGACCTGAAAAACATTAACTAAATAAAATTAAATGAAAACATTCATACATTATAAACTACACCTAATCTGAAATCCAACATTTTCCCACCAACAACAGCTTAACCTCCAGTAAATATTAAGCAGTAAACTTTTAAAAATATATACAATATTTCAAAATTAAAAAAAAAAAAATTTCTGGCTACTGTAAACTCATACTCAATAAGATCACTGAAATACAAGTGTATGTTTGCCACAAGAAAGCATACAGTCGGAAATTACAACCAAATCGAAATCGCGCCGAATAAAAACTCTCGCCAAGTTTCGCACTCACCCCACTTATGAAAAATTAACCATAAATCTAATAAATGCAACCTTCTTTTAAAAGAAACACAAATTAACATTTCATTTGTAGTAAGAATTATGCTGTTATATTCCCTGTGATTATACGAGTCTGTATTTTATTTTGCGGCTATTGCAGATAAGTTTTACAGCAAAACCAATGAAATTAAATACACATTCTTTATTACACAGATGACAATAACTCTCGCACCTGAAACTTCATGCATGAAGAAGGATATTAACAGGAAAATTTCAAATGAATCGTTTGGTACCTAAAGTTAATTTGCGTGATGTAACTTAGTGCTTTTCACGTGACTGCATAGGGGACTGGCATGCTGAATATTGCCAGGCTTGACGTAAAATTTACCTCAAAGCACTGCATGGTCCCTTGACATTTTCAATCATCTCTGCACTTAGCCTTGAAATATTAGCATATTGAATTTCATTTAAAACATCCGAGTCTCAATACATGACCTTTTATTTCACACATTATTAGTCACAAGCTGAATAGAGTAAAATGTATTCTTATCATCTATTTAGCATACCCAGTTGCTATGATATTACAGTGATGTCCCAATGTTACATTTTCGTTCACATTATATTTGTGACTAAGATGCAATGTCACAGAGATGCTACATTTTGATGTGGATGTGAATGTCGCACAGATGTCACATACACATCACAGCAAACATTTCATGTGACCACAAGAAATTTCTCTGTCTTTCCCGCACTGACCTTTCTCACATAATTCTTCTTTAATGGGAGATATTCTTATGCACTGACCTTCCCTCCTGACTTATTGTTAGATGTTTCAATAAACCTTTCTAAACAAATTATTTTTATGCTAACAGCTTGCAATTTTAGTTATTTTTTATTAAAAATATGGACAGTTTATAGCACGTTTTTATTGATGTGATACTTAGAAATTATGGAACTATATTTTGTGGTGAATGAATTTGCATTCTACTGTATCTAGGCCCACTAGCAGCTGAGTGGTAAAGTCGCTGAACACTGGTAGTTCGGTCCGAGATTTGAATCCTGCGAATGGGCTGGCTGCATGGCTGTTTTCGTAATTTTCCCCATGTGTAACGTGTATACGAGTCAGCTTCCGTTAGAAAGTCCTCCACGAAGGCATCCCTTTCCTTAGGGCAGATAGCCCTTGAGGCTTTTCCGTAATTAAATAACCTAACCTATCTACTGTATCTAGTGTTTGTCAAACGAGGCTAACCAGTGTTTATGCATAGCGTTGTTTGCCTTAAGGATTTTCATGACCATTTTTTAGTTCTGTTTCTTCTGTTAGCTGAACAATTCGTCACTGCTAAATTTTCAGGCAAGCACCGTGTACTATATATTAATGTGAATGATGTCAATAATAATTAATATACAATAATAAAAGCATAATTTAAAAACTCTGAACAAAAAGACATAATGAATTGCCAATCAATTCACTTGCATTACAAAGAGTTCAGAAGCAAGGTCATCATCAAAAGTTTACTCTCACTTTTGCATCACTGCTTAGAAATTTTAAATTCTAGAGTCAGTTTTATTTGGTAGAGATAATTAAATTCCTGCTCCTTTCAATATTAAAAGATAAAGTCAAAAATAAATTTTATGCAATTTATTGCAGTTCTTTGTATAGTGCTCTGTAATTTTTCAGAATTAATTTCACAAATTAATTTATTATTTCCATGCATGTTACTTTGCTTTAAATTACAAATGATACCATGTTTCTGTAATGTTACAAATGATGCCATACTTCTGTAACCAGGTTTTAGTTACATATAATAAGATTATTTATTATAAAAATTAATAAATGGAATATTTACAATGCTGAATTTATTCACATGTTCCCTTTTGCTAAACTTCTAAGATTGTTTCTAAAATTTATTACATTAGATCTTTTCTTCCAATAAACTATGAATGATTTTACATATGTGGGAGGTCACTGGAGGGTACCACTGTGTTGAGTGGTAGCAGGGAGCACAATTGACTCCTTATAATGATTGGTACATTTGCGAGGTTGCATAATTCTTAATGCATTTTAAACTCAAAGCACATTTATTACAATTACAAGAAGCTCTTTACAAATATAAATATAATTCATGGATAGCATAGACAGTTATTGAAATGAATTATAGCCCTCATGGTGTGAGGAGCCTGTTAACGAAGGTCTCTCTAGTTGAGAGCTCAAAAGCATTCTAGATATCTCTAGTCGAGAGTTCAGGAGCCTTATGAAGTCTTTTTCCGATGGAAAAAATCTTCAGACTGATTTGCCACCGGCTCCTTAATTTTTCTGTTGTATTTTACATTCTCTGATTCGTTATATCTGAAACATTATCAGAGAAAAACAAAATCATTGGTTCATCAGCCCTCCTGAAATCGAGAGGCTTTGAGAACAGACACGGTGCAGAATGCTAAAATCTCCTGACACTAGTCTTGAAGTTATGTCTCTTGCACTGTCAAATGGAACAAATTAGTGCATCTGCGATGTCACAAACATGTCATGTGACACATCGTAAAAGCTTGGAAGCAGCGACTTGCAGGGACTGCACATACGATTTTCTCATTTCTGTGCGGTCTGCCACATACTCCCCCTCCAATATCATTGTGATGATACATAAAAATTAGGGAAATGCATGTCTGTCAAACGAGTTTGACGAATATTTGGTTTGGAATGATGGGCAGGTCTAGGTTTCGAAGTATCAGGAGAGCGAGTATCCATGTCAGTATTCCACAGAAATGCTGCTTTCATTTAGTCAATTAAAACCAAAACAATTTTTTCCATGAATGGATAATGAACACTTTTTCATCACATTTGACAACTTTAAAATGGCCATCATGGTTGTAGTGGCCGTCGCACTGCATCACGTCACACAAACAAATGTGAACACGTTTTTAAATCTTTGTGAATAAACACTGCTTTTGCTGTATGTGATCCAGTCAGTTTTAGTTTAAGTTGCTGCATGCAACTTCGAAGTTGTTCCATGCATTCAACAGGATCAGTTGAACATTCGATGTGTTGAATAAAATCACCTAGGAGTTTAATGGTAGTTCCGTACACAAGTTCAGCGGTAGTGCAACTGATGATTTCTTTGAAAGCTGTTCTTAAACCAAGTAGCACAGTTGGTATGCCATGAGTTTAGTTACAACCTTAAATAAACAAGATTCGAATTGACATCCTTATTAATTGTAATAGTAGCTGGCACATAGTTACAACCTTAAATAAACAAGATTCGAATTGACATCCTTATTAGTTGTAATAGTAGCTGGCACACCAAAGCAGGTGATCCAGTTGGTGTAACAGGGCTCCGCTACTGTAGTAGCTCAAATACCGATGATGGGGATAACTTCTGTCCCTCTAGTAAACCTAATGATAGCTATTACGCAATATGTGAATCCACTGAAAGGTGGAAGTGGGCCAACGAGATCTATATGAATATGTTGAAATTGCATAGATGTTTCACTAAATGGCTGTGAAGGGGCTGAAATGTGTTTGTGTATTTTAGATTTTTTATACAAAATACAGTCTTCCTGAGTTTGTGACATCTTTGTTGATATCTGGCCACACATATCAATTACAAACTAATTTTGACATTGTTCGAATGGCCAGATGAGCTAAATTATGTACGTAATTAAAACACAATTTTCGAAATGCCTTGGGAATATAAGGTCTTGTTATGCCAGTAGATATATCTGAATACAATTCTATTTCTGAATTTGGGAGCTCTGTTTTGTTTCCTGATAAAGCCATCTTGCTTTGGAGTGGACTGGCTGTCCTTTAGTTTCCACATAATGAACTGCGTCATATTTTATTGCTTTGCTATGAATAGAAGGATTAGTTAGTTTGGGAAATTGTCTAAGGATCAAGAGCATTCTGAAACAGTCTTAACATTCAACCAAGTGTTGTTCTCTAATCTGCC